AGCAGCTTAAATAAGCACCAACCGCCGGCAACTGACAAACGGCCTAAGCTAGTGTGTTCCATGCATTCCGAAAATAGGGCTAATCTACCTTTGGCTTTTATATTCTTGTTCTCGTGTGCTATCAGCCGCCCGTCTTCAGCAACTTATAAAGGGATAAAATGAATGGAACTCCCCCAGGAGTGAGACTTATCTGATCAGTGGTATTTATTTAATACACAGAAATTATGAAATTAAGATTACCGTTCCAACCAAGTAATGAACCGAAAAAACAAAAGGGCAAGGTGAAAAACGCTAGCGAGAAGCGTGTAACTATATTCACAGGTGCAAGCAAATAGGCGTACCTTTCCGCACATAGAAAAAACGAAGTGACATTTTGAGACAAGAGTGCAAAGGAAGAGGGTTATTTAGGAGCCGGATACAGATATAGGGACATATCCTATGTCAGCGTCTGGCAAAATAAAGACTAAAATGACTCACAGACCGTAACATATTGTGCAAGTAGTCCACAGAAAATGCCGCCTTCAACGAGCATTAAAGCCCGAGAAGCAGCCGAAACCCACCTCTCAGAGAACGTCTATCCCTTTGACCATCATCCTGTGTATACGCCACCCTGTCATAGAGTGACAGATGGATGGCTGTTTTCGGTAGTTCTCTGTCCCCCAACACCAGCAGTGGTGGTGGTAGTAGTAGTAGTAGTCCGCTGGAAATAAGATGGCATTATACCGCAAAAAACACAGTTACTAGGGTGTCAGTTTAGGTGCAGGTCAGCTGCTATCAAATTGGCCACAACAGTAAATGGCGTACGGAGGCACCGGCCTGCTCGGGAGAAGCAAAGTTAGTTGCAACACCCCGAAAACGACGCAGTCTCTGCCCCAGTGGCACATAAAGGTGTGAAAATATTTCACCCCATTGTCCGATTCCACAGCTGACGCGGGTCGAAAGAAAGAGATAAGAAGGTTACAGACGCAGGCTGCAGAGGCACTAATATCAAGCTGGCCTAAGCATAAACACGGACACAACTCGTATTGTCCCTTTGAACATTTCTGAGACGGGTTTTATAGCCTGGCTGGGAAAAAATAGATCATAACTTAGTCATGTCGGGGACCGCTAGCCAAAAAGTTAGCGAAATAAACTGCGAATAGTTGGCTCTGACCAGAAAGCGCCTAGCTTTCCCAGCAATTTTCACAAAGCCATTAATGCTTTGATTGGAAAAGCACTTTCGGTTTATTGGACGCCCAAAGTGCCACGGTATATTTAAAGACCACTTCATGTTCAGCTGTCCCAATAGTGCCTCTTTTACATTATAAAACAAAAACTGAAGTATTAAGGTGTGTCGTTATTATATACAAGTTCGTCTTAAGCTACTCATCAGGAAAACTGAACTAAGCCGTCATTGAACGATACGTCAACTTGAAAAACAGAATGTGATCAAATGAATGAAAAAGTTCTGCATGGATAAGGAAGGAGACTTGTCGAGCACCGGATCAATTGGTGATCATTTCGTAATAAGTCTCTTAAGTTTTCTACGTTTACTACACCAGTGAAAGTCAAAACCATGAGATTTAAGGCGAGATAATCATTTCGCATTCAGACCTGAGCATAGTGTATTCAGAACATCGCTTAACCAAAATACCTTATCCAACAAATAAAACACTCACCGGATGTCGATCCATGTAATCCGCTTTCTGTGTCCAATGTTTGACCTTTGTGACAGACACGACAATGTACGAAGTCGAGAAACCCGTTGTATGCATTTTTAAAGAAAGACTGGAACCGCGATGGCTGATCAAAGTCTGAGGTTCCATTCCAGCCGTCAAGTTCCCGCTGCTTAAGCAGCTCCACATACCCTTTAAATACAGAAAATTTTATGTCAATGTGGAAGAGTTAGCACTATTGTATGCATAAAAAAATTTATGCAAACAAACCATTACGTATAAGACAGAATAAAATTATATAGAAAGGATTAAAACGTACGGAGTGTTCGCTTTCTAACGAACGGAACAGCGAAGAAGTACACAATCAGACCGACTACGAATCCAGACGAAAATGACGCCACGAGGACAGCCCAAAGTGGAATCTTCAAATTGAAAACTAGTGGAAAATAATAAACCATTTCAGGTAAATGCTTCCGTAGAGTTTGTATAGTTCATGTGCTTATAAATTTACAACAATTTGAGAGGTTTGTTTTTATAACACTTACTAGGAATTCCACCGAATAAGACAGAAAATACGTTCACAATGATGGTACAGGCAAAGATGAACGGCAAGGACCGCAGTGCCGGTTCCAGTGGCCTTTCCTTAATGTAGATAGATTAATTAAACGCAAGCCCTTATTATGTACACAAATGAAACTTGCAGGACATTAAGTCAAATGTGAAATAGATTGTAGGTACCTTTGATAAAACGAACTGCTTGATGAAGAAGAAGATAAAAAATGACACGGCACCACTGAGGATAGGAGAGATAAACCAGGAAAGGACTAAAATGGAAGAAGAGCGCATGGTTAATCTGTTGCACGATTATAAAAAGAACAGTCGTTTGATTGACTAGGTTCCTCTTTAAAATGACTTCTTAAAGAAGGACTGTTATTCTCAAACACCAGTTTAGGTCCCTGAGTGTCAAATAAAATCCGATAAAAAATGTGTACCTTTGATTTATTTTCTGTTTCGGTTAAGCTAAAACGTCACCTATTATGAGTCCCATGAAATAATTATTTCCAGCCAAAATGAATTGAACGGATGTATCGGTTGCAAAACTGTGACAGCCACAGGCTACTGAATTACAGATAAAGACGTACTTGTATATAGTAGGTAGCAAAGTGAGAACCAAGTCTTAACCCCCTTAACATCAAATTCATTACCCTGAAGCCTGTCATTGATCAAAGTGTCAATAATCCTTGAAAAGCACGATGATTGCACGCCAGAATTCTAACTAACACCAACACAAAACATACTTTAAAAAGACCCATGACTACGACTATGGGTCACAAACAGGTTTCTGTGTTTTCGAGGAGCCGAGCCGGCAGATCACGTTTTAGTGTCACTACATTCTCCAGGAAGGACCTTGTTGCTGAACTCTCTTTCACCTCATTTGGTCAATAAAATGTGCTGCAGAAGTAGTTGGTGGCGCAAGCTGACCAAACACTAACAACGTTACAAATACCAAAAATGTTACCAAAACGAATAGATTTTAATTTTTGATCGTCTACCTATTTTCAGAAGGCCCATCCATTTGATGCCTTGCAGCCCAAACTGAACCAGACCGAATCCCGCCGTCGCTCCAACGATGCTATGTGTTCCGGACACAGGTAGGCGAAAAAATGTCGCAATAAGCATCCAGATGCATGCACCTACATAATCCATCGAAAATAAAAGCAACAGTTATCGAAAATTATTAGGTTAGTAAACAGTGAAAATTTGGAGTTGCTATCCTATAACACAATATATCTGTTTTGAAATGCGTTCATTGTTGCTTTAAGAAAATAAGTAAACTTCTAAACGTACAAATAATAATTTGATGGGAGACGTTGAAAAGCGTTTAACTTAGCATGTAAGATTTCAGTTGCCTATCTCAAAAGTAATTAGTATAAAGCAAGTAACATCATATTACCTGCAAGCGAAGATACTTGACCTTGCATAAGAAGCGTTGCACCATCCACACTGTTGTTGAATCGACTTATATCAACTATACCGGCCTTTATAGTTTTCGATACGTGGCCGCCTAAGATTTTATTGAAAATTTAAAGTTGTTTGACGAACCAAGAAGAATAGACCCGGCCAGTTCGCAAATTGAAGCAAGCGTACATGCCGCCCGCAGCGTCAAAACTTTGGCTCCAACACTTGTACCAAACGTGTTTGCAACATCATTTGCTCCAATTCCAAAGGCTAATAAGAAGGCCATCAGAAAGCCAATGAGAACCAGCACCAGTTCATATTCGTCCAACATTTTAACCTGTAGAAAAGAATTTATCAGGAAGTGTCACTTTTGGAATCGTGTGTAAATGACATTTAAGGTACTTAAAAACACTTATTAAGATATGCAACAAAAATATCCTCCTTAATCAATAGCTCTGTTTATGCTTTTATGAGATGCTAAATCGTACTAATAGTCGGTTGCAAAACTTTGAGTGAGCCCCAGTAAGCGTTGCACTTTGGCCATATTGTAAAATTAAGTTCACTGTAGGAGATAATTTGACTTTTTAAGAAACGAGGATAGCCACGGAAAGATATGTCCAATCACCAAGTACTGACATTTATTTTTGGATTAGGATCTATACGGGAGCGAGTAGTAATACTTACCTTCAAATTCAGTTACGAGTTTGATAGAAATCACAGCCCGCATCAAAATTTACCCACAAACTTTGCACCAAACAGAGTACCAATCCAATTTTCAAGTAAAAGTAGAGTTGCAACATCAATAAATTAACACTTGTCCGCAAGTATAGCTCACAAAAAGGAAAAAGTTGCGTTTATTTTACCTATATGTCGGCACACAGTGTGCTTTAATAGACATGCACATTTGCAAGTCTCTTCAAAGAATGGGTCGGTTGGTTTGAGACTTTGGTCTACGCGACACGCGTACCCCTTAGTTAGTTTGAATGAGAGGTCTATATCTCCTTTTTCCATAACCTGAGCATCGCAATCTGTATTTTCTGACATGTTGGACAATGCGCACAACAACCTGGATGCTATAATCTTCAAACAAGCATTTCAGAATAAAAAAGTAACCACACCTCTGTCTACAAACAAACCGTGTGCAAAAAAGAGGCATTTAAAAACCAGTCATCAAAGTTTACGTGGCACAAAACAAACTTTTGCTGCAAACGATCCATTGGTATGATTGATAAGCAAAATGAACGAGAAGTAACCAGTTAACCAGATTTATTAAATAAATATAGAACATGAATAACGGATTAAAGTTACTGAGCCTTACATTCAAAATAATCACCGATATAGGAGAGAATATGTTTAACTAAGAATACATAAGTCATGTAGTTTCTAAGGCCTTAGAGGATGAGTTCCCTTAACACCATCTATCCTTAGAACATTATTCACAAAACTTCACCGCAATATGTGATCAACCAAATGATTTAGTCATGCAGTTTAAAATTTACAATACAAAAGCGAACTTACAAATAGGCAGACGTGACGCAAGTTGCAAGACCGACACCCAGAAGTGCCGAGGTACAGCGAGAAGCGGAAGCTCGTCCCTAATTTACCGAAGCAAGCGTGTGGATAGACTTATATAGTGTGCGATAGGTTGCACAATCCACGAACACGTTGTCACAGGAACAACCAATGAGATTGAGCGTGAGGGAAGAAAGGTTAATGCATTATGCATTAAGTTGAAGAATTAAAACAATAGCAAATAGCAGCTCAGATTAGTTTGATAAACCTGTTAGAAGGAGGATTTTAATAATGTTTTCAGAAATAAATATTCAAGAAGTCAAGGTCTGCCAATATACGTCTTAATTATTCATCATCAAATAATTATCATAATATAGGGAGTTTAGTGCAACTAAAGTTAAATATCAAACGCGAACTGAGTTAGGTGGAAAGGGTTGTCGGTGTTCACAGGTCAAAGCGTTTGGGTCTTCTGTTATTAAGGGTTTAGGGACATGGAGGAGAGATAGTGTCCGACAATAAATAAATCAGACTCGTGCAAAAGAACCTGAAAAACTAGACAAAGGGAGACATCTTGAGGTAGATGGCTTGCTCAAAATGCATAAATATGGATTTTGGCTCACATATCTGTGCGTGTTTGGTAGCCAAATGTAAGCGATCGACCCAAAATGCATATACAGAGTTCGTTCAGTCGGATAGAAA